GAAGGAAGGGTGGAAGAAAGGGTTGAAGGAAGGAAGGGTGGAAGGAAGGAAGGAAGGGTGGAAGGAAGGAAGGGGGGAAGGAGGGGAGGGAGGGGGGAGGAAGGGAAAGGGGTGGTGGTGGGGGGCCTCTTCACCCTAGTGGCTACAGCATGGAGCCTTGGCTGGCTGGGCCGCTTCTGTCAAGTCCACGCCCCGGTTCCGCCCACTGTTGGCTCCTGCAGCTTGGGGCTCATTCTTTGGCAACCTCTTTGCTGTGAAGGGAGAGAGAGAGGTTCACTCAATATATGTGAATAAAAACTGTTCAAATCAGAGGTGGGCAGACTGTTGCACAGATTGTCGCTGTGGCTATAGGTTTTGGTTCCAACCTATCAGAGCACACTGACCATTTAACTGTCTGAAGACTCAGATCAGCCAAGTCAGGTGTGCTGCTGCTTGAAACTAAAACAGCGACCCTCTGTGGAACAGTCTGCTCCTGGTCTAAGTCTATAAACTGAGTATCAGGAGGAGCTACTCACCAATTGCCATGAATATCTCGTTAACGTTCATTGATGTCTTGGCCGACGTCTCCATGAAGAGAAGGCTGTTGTCATCGGCGTAGGACTGTGCATCCTGTCAACAATAAAGCACAGTAGAAATGTTTCCTTTTCCTGTATGTTTTTCCTGAAGGGTCTGTTGATTGACTGTTTATATTTTATTTGGCCAAACCTGGAAGTCGACTGCTCTCTTGCTGGCTAAATCAGCCTTGTTCCCTGACAGGGCGATGACGATGTTGGGGCTGGCTTGTCTCTGAAGCTCCTTCACCCAGTTCTTTGCCCGTGCAAAGGACTCCTGCAACAGACAACTAAGTTATTTTAGGAAACTTTCTGCCATCAGTAAGGACTAGGTGTAATTTAAAATGTCTAAAAAATGAATAAAAATGCACTTATTTGTCTCCAACTATGTAAAATGTCTTTTTTATGCATAAAATTTAAAAAACATTACTTACAACAACCATTGATAAAAAGCAACATAAATGCACTAAATTGCTAACAATTAATAATAACACTAATGAATATTATTTTATTAATACTAATAAATAATACGAATTTAATTCATAAGTAGCTCTATGCTTATTTGTGCTTAAAACTATTTATTTTAGTACGTCAACCTTTGATCAGGAGTAAATTACTATTAGGTGTGCATGATTATTATTGGCCAGATATTTCTATTATTATATAGTTGTATTATAACTTGTGTAATGCACTTTTTCACTTTATTTATTTAATTTTTTATTTTGAAAAAGATACTCACGCAAGGTAGTTCTAGAGGCCACTGTTATATCATAAGGTAATAGGCCTTAGTTAAATGTTCATTTAAAATGTTAAATAGTTTTTCATAACGTTTTTCATTTGAAAAAATAAATATATATTTTTAATAGTATTGATGCCATGATATATCAATTTTGCTTGTTCGTCTTATCTCCCAGTACATTATTGGCTATTGGAATAATTTTTAAATTATTATTATTAAATAAATAATAATATTAAATTATTATTATTGAGAATCTATGGTGACCATGACTAAATTGAATGTGTCCTTATGGAAGGTTTGAAGACGGTTTTGTGAACATACCTCGTTTGTGATGTCATAGACCACAATGGCAGCCTGGGCTCCTCTGTAATACATGGGTGCCAGACTGTGGTAACGCTCCTGGCCTGCAGTGTCCCATATTTCAAACTTCACTGTTGTGTCGTCTAGACACACTGTCTGAGTAAGGAAGGCAGCTGAAAGGACAGCAGAAGGCGAGATGTGAGTCAGCACTGAATAATTAGCTGCTGCAGGACAATACAGTCAAACAAAGGAAGTGGTGGACGTACAAAGACAGACAAACAGGAGAACTGAGGTAAAGGTTCATTCTACAGCTTTTGCCATGTCACATCTGTGCAACAACAACAGTTACCCAGTGTACGCTCATGCAAGCATGTCGTCAGTGTGGAATTATGACACAGTTAAATAAGGAGAGCAAAGGATCGCAATTTGTAATTTATGCAAGGCTGAAGTAAGCCATGAAGAGGCCACAATCAAATCATTAAATAAGACAAACCTCATTTGCCATTTAAGAACACACCACTCTGCTGATTATGCAGCTTTTGAAGCTAGCAATCAAGCTAAGGCTAAAGATAAAGCTAGCAAGAGCAAAGAGCTAGGTCAGGCTTTTTAAAAATTGTTGAACCGGCCAGAAAATTGCAATCGGTGCTCCCCTAGTAAATGGACCAGGTAATGTTGGTAACAAAAGAAGCTGTCCTCTAGATATGTGGGTTTCATGTCCATTAACAATTCTATCATATGGGTTATTAACAAATAAAAACAGGTGTGAACACATGCAGCAATACCTTGGCCTGCTACAGTTAAAACAGTTTGATTTATCCAGGTTAATCATGATTCAATGTGAATCCTCACCTCCTATTGTGCTTTCCTGAAATTCATGGAACTGGCCCTTTACGAAGCGGAGCACTAAGCTGGACTTTCCAACAGCTGACTCGCCCAACAGCACCAGCTTGAACTGACAGATCTTATTTCCCGCGTTGGGTCCGTTGGGTCTCGTAGCTCCTCCCCGATTGGCCATGACCAAGTCAGATGCCCTGGTGTCCTGTGTGCCAAACCTCCTTTGCAGGGAGTCTACTGCAAGAACCAAGAGAAGGAAAGAGGAAAATGAATCATCACCTGTTGAGTGATCATCAATACATTTCAAATATATCCCATTCTGGGGTATTAGACTACTAATCAAACACACGGATACATACATGTCAGGGTAACTGTGGCATGGGTCTGTAGCCAAAATATTGAAACATCACCATAATCATTTATCAGTGCTTAAATGTAATGGTCACTGTCTGCCTTTCACTGACAGGCTGCATATTTGGTCCAGGGCTCTGTTAGTCTACATGTTACATACACATATATATACATACATATATATATACGTATACATACATACATACATATATATATATATATACATATATATATATATATACATACATATACATATATACATACATATATATATATATACAAACATGAGAGCACCCCCACTGGCCTGGGGTACAATTGGCTGGTATTTATGGCTAGTGGCCACTGGGAGGCATTGGTCAGAATGCAATCAGGAAGAGCATATAATAATAGTAATCTACATACTGCTGGTAATAAACAGCCAAGCAACAACTAAATTAAACACACAGTCAATTGACATCAAAAAATTGTAAATGCAAAAGGTCAACACCGGACAGCGAGTGCCTTGGCCCATCAATAGCATTAGCAAGCTTATTAATTAAGCAGACAATCAACATAATCAACAGCAGATATGGAACATTATAAGGCAAATATCCGTAAACAATTTCTTCCTTCTGTCATTACTAACTTTTTTAACATTTATAACTTGCTTACTTTACTTCCAGTTGTCTTTGCTGTGCAGCTACCCAACTTTTGTTGACTCTTTTTTTTACACTTATGCCATTTGAGTTGCATTTTTTAAACTTTGAGTCATGTGTTTGGAAAAGTAAAGAATAAAGGTAATAATTGAAAAGTTGATCAATGACATGATCACAGATTGGTTCTGTATTTCACTCCCACATCAAGTGATTACAACAAGTCAGCACAGGAACGTCAACATAAAAGGTCACAAGACTGTGATGTCATAGCAAGCACAGTGCAGCACATCCTTAGTGCTGCACTGCTTGATTTCCTGCCCCATCACAAACTAAAAAAATACATCGTCATAATGTATAGCCGTTTGGAAAACTAGAACCCTAATAATGAGTTGAAGGCCATCAATAATATAACACATTATTAACATAGAACTAATGTTATTTCTTGTCTTTTTACTGACAAAAAGTCAAATAACTTTATGAACCTGTTGTCTGATTCTTCTACTCTATCACAGATGACACTCCTTCAAACGTGCCCAGCCTCCACTCATTGGTAAATGTGTCATCGGTGACAGTTTTTCCTGCTGTAATAAAACAAAGACATTTGTTGCCAAGAATTTGTTTGTGATTGACATTTTCTAACAAACAAAGAAATCCCTCTAGAGCCGCATGCTGCCACTCCACCATCAGCAGAAGGAGCTTGGTCCGCCCACACGTATGCCGACATGCCGTGCATTCATACATGGCTTACTAACTAACTGCTGACTATAGCCAACAAATGGTGTTTGTCCAGAGATAATCACAACACATATCTGAATTTGGAGTAGGAATGTGTTTTCAGCAGATAAGTAAAACGTCAATCCTGACCACAAACATGACAGCGACGTCCTTTAATTATGGACTGAGGCAAACATACGAGAAGCACCAACGACCATTTTCAACAACCAAATTCAGACTCTAAGCACATCATGCTACATAAAGGCTTTAATTTGGACCTTTTCCCATATTTCTAACTAAACCCCAACTAAATGGGGTTTGCAGATAGAATCATCTATTCACTTTAACAATGGAGTTTAACTAAGGTTGTTTAAGTTAAGCTATGGAGGCTGAGAAGGTTCTTAGAAGAGGCTACAAAATGTTAATAATTCTTATAAATAGTAGTTTAATAATAGTTAAAGATTTAATTTTTTTTCACTTTCAGATATCACTTTATAACTTTTAAGTTGTTTTATTCATTTAAGTTTGTTTTGATTTGAAATAACTTAAAAACGATAACAAAATGACTTTTTAAAAACATACAATTTCCGACCCACACTTACTTCTGCTGGAGTGCATCTCATCTGCCTTTAACTTGATAATTAAAGAAAAGCAGAGCAGACACTGAAACATGATAAGTGTTTTCAGTGAATACTGCCTACGTTTTTTTTCACTACACTAAATCTTTTGAAAATATATTTGTTAAGCCTTTAGCTCTCTCTATTTAATAAGAAATCAAATCATTATTATCAGTACAATGACACGTGTTAAACACAAACAAACAAAACAACAATGTTTTTGGAAAGTACATTGCAACACATGAAAAGCAGGTAAAAATAGAGATGCATTTTGCCAAAGGTCAAAAACAGACTGATGGAGTGCTACACAGAAACTTAGGGAGTCCAAGTCTGATGAGAGGTTTCGCAAACAAAAGGTATGGCTAGAAAAGAGAATCAACTAGTACTCTCTCCAACAGTAACAACAGAGGCACAAAACAGTCTTCTAAAACTCATCTGACTTTTCTGTCAATAACTTTGTTTTTCCAGCCAGCTGTGATTACATTTCTCATCATGTGAATGACTACGTTACAACGTTCCAGTACAACCAAATAAAATGAGGTAGAAAATAAAAACTAACAGCAATCCAGTATTAGTTATTTTTCATATTTGAAAGAGTATGTTGCATCATGTAAAATGTTGGAATGCAAACATATTTGAATGTTGCACTAATGCTTTTAATTCTACTTCGACCTAATTAGGATATAGTTAGCTTTACATATAATATTGTATGCACAAACCACGCGATGTTACAGTATATTAGGACGACAGTCTTCATCTGTCTATTGTTACCACTATCATATCATACCTCATATCGATATATCTAATCACTGATATATAGTATATAACGCCATTATCACACAATAGAATACTGGGTTGAAATAAGAAGGTAAATATAAGTTTGTACGTGTAGACATTCGTCTCAGTATCCACCCGAGGGCAGCACACACTTAGGAAAAGCAAGTCAACAAACGCTGCGCACTTTATAACTGCAAAGTCTGTGAAATATGGGGGTTTATCTGTAGTTAGTTGACAGTAAACACACCTGCTCGTGTGAGACGAAGCCAACTACATTAGAATATTGAGGGGGACACCACTTTCTTAATCGTTTTGCTGTCTAGCCCCTTTAATTGTTAACAGTTAGCCACTCCTAGTGGCTAGGAGCATGATTAGTGCCTCAGGCGCTTTATGAACAACGCACATAAATTATGTTAAATGTCAGACAATGGGAAGCGCTGTGCTGTTAGACAACATGGCAGAATGTTTAACATTTACCCACGAACAGCTCAAATATTAACAAACGCAAGCTTAGCTTATTCCGGCTGTTAGCATTCCACTTACTGACCTGATTCTACTTAAGAATTCCACACAGTCGACATGTTCATTATACTTAAACCGCACATACTGTCAACCCCACTAGACTATTTAATGACAACATGTTAACATGAAGAACTTTCAAGTTCAGGGAAATGGTCTGTTACCTGCGTTTTCTCAGCAATTAAACGTCAGAACGTTAGCCGCTAACGCCAGCGCTAGCTTCCTACAGACCCAACTGACAACGCTATTAGCCTTTAGCTGCTCCACCAGCTGGAAACCAAAACTTATCGACGTCAGGTAGACTAACCTCGGAGATAATGACGGCTTCTTAAACTCCCGCCGCTGTGGTGTCCACCAACGGGACTGGGTGAAGTGGAGCTGGGGGAAAACCGCGAAAATAATTCCAACAATTCTGTGGCGTCTCCTTGTTTCTTTCTTCTCGCAACTTCCCCTTTAGAACCAAAACACAAACAAGACCTTCCGCCCCCACGTGCCACGTCACACAACGCGTCTGCAACCACAACAAAACCAGTTTCTCACATATCTCACCCATGTTTTGTTACCCATATTAACTTTGTTGTACTCACTGAAGTCCTATTGCTAATGCGTGAGAAAAATAGACTTCGTAATATATTGTTTGGCAGCGCTATTATTACTGTTCTGTCGCATGTCTATTTTCATTTGTGGCTTTATATTAACCCGTAGCTCATTTTAACACACTCAAACTCTTTAATTATTTTTTCTAGATATGCCAAACCAAAACTTATATTGTCATTATAAGTTTGTAAAGTGTGTTACGCTTTTGACCCACTTTTCAAATCTCATAAATTAAAATAAATATTATGTTTGTTGTCTTTAACCTCACACACCATTTTATTAACTGCTTAATACATATAATTATCTTTCTGAATAAAACAAACCCCAATTAATCCGACATCGCTATGAGAAGTTCAGTACCCGAGTACTGTAACAGTCCAATAGACGGCAGTATCACAAAGTCAGTGTACGTTCTGACGTCGACGACGAAGAAGAAAACTCCGCCTTTCCTCATCAGCTTCCGCATCAGGCCATATCCGCACGTTTTATTTATTCTATATTTGTAAATCTTATCCTGTCAGCGAGGAACAAGGCTTTATCACAGAATCACCATTAATACATAATTCAGCAGCCACCTGCTTCATGAAGCTCGCAAAGAATCGTTTTCAACAAAGTTAACAGTCATGGAAATGGAAACAGTGGAGACACCAGAGGATCTGCTTGCAAAACAACACCGCAAAGAAAAGAAAGATCTACAAGGTAAACGAGCCCACAGGTCTCTACAGCCGAATTTACTGTAGTGTGTGTTCACGTCTCAGAGCAAATACATGTGTGGTCTGTGTCGTCACCGAGGCTAAAACGCAGCCCAGTTCAGCGAATGACACCATGTGTTTACTTTTCTTTGCCCCGTCCTGTATCAACAGTTAGCTTCATTAGAAGTAATCACTAAGGTATTGAACCTTGGCTAACACTGAGATGTACGTAATGCATCTCAGTGACAATATTTTTGACAATATATGCATCCAATTTGCATTGGCTGATTTGACAATCGTGAATCGTGATCAGCTGTCATAGTTTACCTCTTGTTTTGATTTGCCGTGTGTTTTTGCAGCAAAAATCCAGAGCATGAAAAATGCCGTGCCCAAAAATGACAAGAAACGGAGGAAACAGATGACAGAGGAAATTGCCAAGCTGGAAGCTGACCTCAACCAGAAACACGAAGAGGAATTAAAGCACCTCAAATCTGCAAATGACACAAAGGTAAATAAATGCCCCCCCCCCCCCTTTTTTGTTTTTTAGATGTTTGACTTCTAAAGTAGAAAATATACAGTATTCATAAACTGAGGTGTCTATACTTTAAACATTACACATTTATGCTAAGAGGAAAATAAATCCATTCCAATAAACTATATTAGTTACACACATTTTTTACACTTGTTTATATAAAAAACAACAACAAGTGAAACACGTTACTATTTTTAAGGAAAAAGAGGTCGTAAATGGAGTTGAGACACTGAAGATAGAGGACGGAGAACAAGACGAGTCCAAACAGCCAAAAGTAACCAAAGCCCAGAAGAGAAGGGTGAGTCACAGGTTCTCCCAGAATTTCTTTTTTCAAAATAAAGGCAATGAATTAAAATTAAATTAATTTTAATTCAGTTTAAATAATGTTAATTTAATAAATTAAATTAAACACATTAAAATGTTCTTATTTCAAATTATCTTTTCAAGGACAAGAAGGCTGCCCAGGAGAAGGAGAGAGAGGACAGAATTGCAGAAGCAGAGGTGCAGAACCTTCAGGGTGTGAGGCATCAGGAGGGTTTAAAGCTGGCCCAGAAACTGGCCCAACAGCAGCTTCAGATCAAGGAAGTCTCCTCTGATGGTCACTGCATGTACCGGGCCATTGAAGATCAGCTGGCACAGCAATCACAGGTGTGCTTTGAAAGATTACTTAGAAGCTTGACCAGATAGAGTAGACAGTGTAAAATGTAATGTTATACATTGTGTTTCATCTCAGATTGGGTCAAACATGAGTGTAATAGAACTTCGGTCACGTACTGCTGAGTACATGAGAAGCCATGTGGATGACTTCCTGCCTTTCCTCACCAACCCAAATACTGGTGACATCTACACAACAGGTGGTGGACTTACAGGAATTTTGCTTAGTTTTACTTTCTAGAAATAAAACAGATACGGTCAGGTTGATGTTACTGGTGCTTCAATTTGCAGATGAATTTGAAAAATACTGCAGTGAAGTGGAGAACACAGCAGCCTGGGGGGGACAACTGGAGGTGAGTTATTTGCATTCTGTCACTGATGCTTTTACACCTTTACCTGTTTATCCTAATGTACATGTTTGTCCGCTCCCTTCAGTTACGAGCCCTGACCCAAATTCTCCACAAGCCAATAGAAGTGATCCAAGCTGATTCACCGACCATAAAAATTGGAGAAGAATATGAAAGCAAACCCATCACCCTTGTGTATGTCCTGATGATCTTATTGCCTATGTGGAAGGGAAACAATTTTTAAAGCAAAAATACATTTTAAAGTGATTCCTGCATGACAGAATAATAGTAGCACCAACTGGGCCTGAGCTTACGTAAACCAGCCAGTCACACAAACGAAAAACTACACACATCACAACAGCTAAAGTATAATTGAAGGCAATGACACTCATTGTTATCTGTCATAAATTAACATCACCCTAGAATCATAAAACAAACCTACTGACTTAGATAAATATATGTTGAATTTCTCTTTCTGCTGTTTGTTACAGTTACATGCACCACGCCTACGGACTGGGAGAGCACTATAATTCTGTTGAGCGGTTAAAGGACCCGGCCAATGTTGAGGACAGCTGACGGCCAGCTCAGTCTTAGGAATATTAAACTTCCCTCCTCACACCCTGAGGCTCAAACTACAGTCTAACAAAATAAAAAGACAGCATCGACATGATACTTATAAATGTGCTATGCTAACCCAGCTCATAGTCAATGATATCTATGCTGCTATGAATCAGTGTGATTTCAAACCACATCCAGTCAACAGAAAGAAGAGCTGTACACCATGCATGTTGTTGCCATTGAAGGAAACGAGTTGTACATTAGCCCAAGTCTAATTTCCTTTGGGATATAAATAAAGCTGAACTGAAAAAAAGAAAAAAAAAAACGTTTATCTAATTACTTAATGTTATAAGTGCTTTCAATCTCAACACCAGACATTGACACAGACATACAGTTCCAAGATGTTTGTAGAGAGCTTTGTCACCGGGATCTTTGCTGCCTCTTTGCTCTACTGTCAACAAGTTAATCAATCATAAAATAAAAAGTAAGGGATGATGTGACTGGAAATACCAAAAGTTATTTGTAAAATTATGGTAAACACTTTACCTTTGATAAGCTAAAGATAATTGGGTCCTAACCAACAAGACTTTAAGATATATTTGATATCAGGCATATCATCCTTAGTTATCTGCTGTAAAATAATGTATTTTCTTGAAAAGGGCATGGAGTAGTTTCACCAAGCAGTAAAAGTTCCAAGTTGCTCATCCTCTGTGGTGCCCAGGGGAATACTCACCTGACTGTGGTGTCAGAGACAAAGGCTTGAATACGGGTAAGACACAGTAAATGATTGTATAAATGAAACAAAGCAGTTCACTGACCATTCCGATGCGTCCTCTTCTCAGCTCATACCAGTGTTTCAACACGCAGGGGCGCTGCTACCATGCTGTCTCTACAAGATAAAAACAAATGCATTCACTTTAGTATTCACTTAAAATAATCAAACTGAGACAATTTATCTGAATGCAAGGATGTAAGAGCCTTTGTGGTCACTAGATGGCAGCAAATTTACACTGTAGTTTGACTATCTAGTTGTACCAATGCTTCAGTGTTTAACAGTTGAAACCTCATTCACTAACACTGTCTTGTACGGATTATCCATCTCCACATTAATCTTTATAAGTTCTGTCTAAACACTGGTCTAAATTCTAACGGATTTTAACCTCAATAGCTTTAGCCACTCTTCCTTATAGGATTGAGTGTAATAAATGAAATAGCAATTTATTAAAGTTACCAATATTGTAAAGTAATCTTAACTTAATATAAGGTAACATTTTATAGGTTTATAGTCTTTTGTTAATGCTGGTCAAACTTTACTACTGCTGCTCTATTTCCATCCAGTGGCTACTATTAAAGCCTAATAGAAAAGAGGGAGAGAGAAAGAGAGGGAGAGAGCAAGGGAGAACTTAATTTGTGGCAAATTTATTTCCTGTCCATGCCTTCAGAGCTTGCTAGCTCTTTTCGCTCACTGCTGCTGCGGCCGCTGCAGCGTGTGTCGACTGACTCAGAGTCTCATGCATAATGCATCAGGTTTAATTGCAAACCCAGAAACTAATGACTTTGGACTGGTTAACAGCAGGGGAGCCATACATCTCAAGCAAACTGAATGAAAAATCAGCTCAGAGGAGAGAAAAAAGGAGCCTAGCCCCTAATTGATGAATAATTGAAGCAGCGAGCTACAGGGCATAATTGTGACATTTTGTTTCAATCAATTTCCAAGTGGTGTGGGCGAAAGTACACTTAAAGGGGAAAGGCAGTGACAATAAATGAGAAAGAGAGGGAGAGATATAAAGAGTGGTTGATGATGGTAATGGACTTGAGGTCTTTAGTCATCGCACTGACACATGGGAAGGGAGTCGACCAAACTCACTGGAACTCTACTTTCCCTCTCTGTCTTAATTCTGAAGGGTTTAAACCAAAACGATACTGTTGGTCAGTGAAGATAAGAACACATTTCTTTTGCCATTATCTTAACTAGTGTAACTTCAGTATTTACTGAATAGTCATGGGATTTAATCCTAAATGTATCTTGTCTTTATGCCATTGTGTCCCTGGGCAAGATTTTGACCCCCAAATTTACTTCTAGCAGCTTAGTTGACAATGTTTAAAACGATGGGCTGTCAAACAATTCAGATTTGTAATCTGATTCCTCACAGGGTAGCTGTTGATTTATCATGACTGTTACAATCACAATTAATCAATAGAGATTAAACAATTTGATGAATATAACACAATTTTGTCTGTACATTGCTGGGACAGAAAAACAAATAACAGGAGGTAAATGTGACCCAGTGACAGTACTTCACAATCCAATTTATAATTTTGCCGGTCAGCTTTTAAACCAATTAATATCTCAAACTAATTACCTTGATTAACAAATCAATTTTGACAGCCCTAGTAAGTAGGAAGACAGAAATGATGTAAAAAAACATTAAACATTAAAAATGTACATCATGAAATAAGTACAAAAACTGTGCTTTTCATTATGACTACAAAAACACTAAGTACAAATTATTTATTATCTCTTAGTTTTAAGAAAGATTGAGTTGCTGAATCATCATTGCTGAAATTAAAGCCACACCAGCCAGTTTTGACCAGATTGCCATTGACTACATTTAGCCTCAGGACAGACAAACAAGAGTACAATGCCAACTGATCTGAGGTATTTGGACTGTAAGACAACTTTGCCCCCCCACCACCCCCAAAAAATCATACGTAGACTATTATGTTTCACATTTGGACATTGGTACAAAAAGGCCTGACTAGTGTATTTATAGAATTACCCTCCGTTTTGAGTAGACCTACAAAAGGATCCGATTGTTTTTCAAAATTAATAATCTTTCCCACATGTTATCATTTATTCATATTCAAATGCTTATTTCTTTTTTGGGCCTCTTTATGTCCTTACCCTTGCCAAGTCACTGCTAAAGAGCGAGAACCCCCTGGACATTTCACTAGCCCATTGCCACTCATGAATAGAAAAACGGAGCTAAACGGTAAACGGTTGTAACGTTGCCATTTAGTCCTTGATAATTTATTTTTCATCATTAATGATACATAAGTCAGCTTAATGGTATCAAAATAGACTCTCATTAAATATTTTTCAGGGGTGAATGAAAATATGGCTCATAAATAGGTCATTAAATAGGCCATTCTAATCACTCACGACCACACTAATGGGTGAGAGGCCAACAATACGTGTGTTCTTTTAGGCAGCAGATGCTCAGTCATGAAGCAGTGCAGCAGTAGCAGCAGCAGCAGCAGCAGCAGCAGCAGCTCGCTGCCCTCAGGATGGGTCCCTGGGTCGGTCTGGTGTCTGGTGTTAAGCTCTGCATGTATTCACACATACACACATGCCACTTCAGCACACTGCTAAAAAGCAAACACAATCACTCAATCCACTCTTTCTTTAGGCCCCCAAACGCCCATCCATAAAGCAGTCCAGCAGTAGCAGCACCAGCAGCAGCAGCAGCAGCAGCAGCAGCAGCAGCTCGCTGCCCTCAGGATGGGTCCCTGGGTCGGTCTGGTGTCTGGTGTTAAGCTCTGCATGTATTCACACATACACACATGCCACTTCAGCACACTGCTAAAAAGCAAACACAATCACTCAATCCACTCTGCAGTGATGGCACATCATCAAGACAACTGCCCCCCCCATCTCTTTGTTTTCACCTAGTCGTTTCACACAACGCTCAGTATGTGTGCACACCCCCCTCGTGTGCATACACATACTGCATCCATAACACTGAGGTGTCCCTCATGATTGCCATATTCAGAGAGCCCAGTGTGTGTGTTTTTTTGTCATACACAAAGCTTCCGTAAAAACCTTGCGTGGCTTGATTGACGTCTATGGAAATGAGGAGAATGCATCCTCACCGGAGACACCATACGGATGGGAGCAGCACACTGACGAGAGGCGTCGACAAAAGGTGCTTGTAAATTCTTGACATGCCTAGCATATGTTAATGAGCCATTCTCTTGCTCTGATATAATTACTGTGACGGGATATTGCCTTTGGTGGAAGTATCTGCCTGCCTGCCGTGACTCCTTCACAGGGGAGAAAAAAAAAAGTAAAGAATGATAAAGTGGTGGGTGCATAAATTTTCATTTACCATGCTCAGAGGTAGAGAGGGGGATGTTGGCGAATTCGCTCAGGATGATACATTGGGTGGAAATCACCTCCGATTCATTACATACTGCCTTTGTTGAAGTGCTTTCTGCAGCCGTGTACAATTTTGTTAGGGGGTATTTAGTCTGTCTTGTCATCTGACTATAGTCACCGAAGGTGTCTTTAGACGAGGCCTCGGCTGCTTCAGCTCACATTCTATTATGGGTTCAAAAAAAGCTAAATATACTTAAGCTAAACAGTAAACATGCTACAGACTACAAGGATGTTTTGTCATTCAGTATACTCTGTAATTTTTAATGCACAATTTCTACACCTGCTCAGATTTTCTCTAGTAGCAGAGCTCTTATCTGAATGATCAGTGTTTGTTAAATCAGGAGCCGTGTGACAGAAAAAAAACCCACTGGTGTTCATCACTCCAATCAGCAGAAGCTATTGTTTTCCACTGCTGCCCATAACAGAGCTGGATATCAAGCCACTGGCAGAGAACCAGAGTGTTGTCAAGTGGATGGCTGAACAATCAATTCTGATGAGTTAAAAAACAATATATAGCACTAGGGGGCAGTATGATACTCCGCTGGCCCTTTCGGCAGATGGGGACAGAGATGCAGTGATGCACAGCACACTCAGATATGCCTGATGGATCTTAGAGATAAAGCAGTTAATAAAAACAAGAACAATGAGCTCTTATTGGAATTCAAGGCTTAATTGAAATCCAGGCATCAGATTGTGGCTCTGTAACATTCTTCTAACTGTTGAGATCTAATAAGTGAAACCAAATATAAAAGGTGAGAATTCTTGCAGGCCCTGATGCGTATCGATACAAAACGAGATGGTGAAGATGCCACGTGTACCAGGCAATAACTGCAGTATCGCTGCATCAGATTCACTCAAGGTTTTCAACAAAAGTGCTTCCTACATGAGAGAAGACAGACTATAACAGAAGGTTATAAAGCAAAGCCACTCAGACAAGACGATCTAGTAACTCAAGTCTCCTTCCAATATGTTCTCTATTGTATCGTACAATTAAATACAAACCCTATTGTGAAGAAAGCTGGTAATTTACTACAATAGAACCTTTTGTGAACAAAAGTGTGCATAAATTATTTTGAATATTAAAGGAGCACCTTCATTATCCTGTGCCATCGCATTTGGTGTTTTACTTTATGGTAAAAGTGTCTGGTAGTCTTAGTTTTTAGTTTTCCACTAAAACTACTCTATATTTGCAAGTATAACAAAC